TTATTATGCAGTGTGCACATAAATACAACTTCTGTTTACTCAAATTGCTGATACACGCAAAAAAAGACATTTTATATATATATATATATATATATATATATATATCTTTTTGTGTGCGTCTTTAAGCTCTTTTTGGATGAAAATTAGAGTGCTTGTTTGTTTTTTTGAAGAGTACAATTTCAGCACCGCTTTTTGTATCCGTCAGTCTCATACCTCGGTGATAAAATACAAATGGGGAAATAATAGGAATATAGAAAAGATGAGAGTCGAGCCTTTTTCATTAAGAGATGGGTGCCTTGCTCATTAGACATGAGCAAGGCAGTGCTTCAAGTCTATGTTCAGCCAGCCAGTCGTGCTTATGCGTTGACCTCTTTTCACAGTGTCCCACATTACATGAACAGCTTTACTCAATAAATCCATTTTATAATTGAATGATTAAATTCTCCAGTTCAAATATTCAGAGTGTGCTCTCTTCTCTCAACATACTGCTGCTGGAAGACTTGGCATCTAAGCTCATGCTTCTTTGACATCGTTGATGTTTTACTGCAAATCACAGGAAATGTTCCATATTTGCAACTGCCACCGATGTGTAAAAAAAAAAAACCAACAACAAAAAAAAAGAAACAAGCGTGAATCCTGCCGTCAACTTGCACTGATTAAAACTAAACTGCAGCATGACAGTGACGGGGACAAACACCCCTTCTCCTCAAAGAGGAAAGCATTGCAATCCTTAAATACCGTACAAGTCAAAGAGCTGGGAAGCCCATTCATCCTGGCCTACATCGCTCTCTGCAGTGGCTCAGTCAAAACACGGTCTACCACACATGAAGCGTGGAACTATGACAAAACACAAGAGTTCATTCCGCTATTGCTACAAAGATAAAACTTGATGATCAAGACACAATCATGCAGTTGTTGTTGTTGTTTCATAAAGTGTAACCCAGGCAGCCAAATTACATTTCCCCTTCTTATGCCTTGGATGTGATCTCACAGGGTGACATTAGCGCAGCGAGTTTCTTCCACTGTGCGAGGAAACTATTCTCCACCACTTCCTCCCTCCGACTTCCTGGATGCCGATACCACCTCACATGTGGTTCGTTTCCTGCCTCTTTCTCACGTCTCCCGGGACGCAGCGGCGGCCACGTTCGATCAGCGTACGCAAGCAGCAGGAAAGATTATAACTAACAAGACCGAATAACAGGAATGTGTCGGGCCAAACAGGAGATAGTCAATTTAGAACACTCAAAAGTGTGTCCCGAGCTGACGACCTGTACTGGCCGCACGCTGACGCGACCTGAAACGCCGTGAAGCTCGCGCAGCAGAGCGTCAAGGGCTTCAAATAGCACAGCTCCTCACAGCGGTCGGAGAGTGAGCCATTAGACGAGACTCTCAACGCGACGCTGTCAAGACTGTCAGAAGGTCGAGAACACTTTCTGACACTTTCAACCTTGTGTAAAACGGTTAGAAGTGCTTGTTGCTGGTTGAATCACAACGTGTCTTTAAGTGTGGTAAAACATGAGTTGCACTCAGCTGAAGTACAGCACAACATCACCATCATTCAAGCTTTTCATAACTTTCAGGGAGATAAATAGCTTGACCCGTTTTACAAAATACCGTGGTAGCAAAGTGAATAAAAGGATATTTGTGTCAAATGTTTTTAGCATCAGTTAACACCAGGTGTGGGCCGCTTTCAATGGACTGAGGCACTAACTGGTGTGCTAATGGGAGTTAGGAAACGCTGTCGCTCCGACAAAACGCGGAGCCACCAACAAAGCAGTTCAAGGATATTCAACACGTTACTGTTGTTGAAATGTTGGCAGTTATTTACTTCTAAAAACCTCTTAATAGGCGTAATGGTGAAGCTCGGTCATTTAAATCAATGATCGAGAGTTATGTTTTGTTGATGGGCCTGTAACAATTTGTGCATATTTCCGACATTTCTGCTACCAAAAAACAATCCCTTCCACAGAATACTCTTTTGGAAAAAGAACTTATATGTACTGCTACTTTACAACAACCGATGGGCGTGTATCATGATCATTCCTTGGATCGGTCTGAGGGTCTTGTACACTTACTTGTTATTGTAAATTTGAAAACCATGGCTCACAGAACAAGTGAATAAGCTGAGTCAACAAGTCCTCAAACATCTACATATATAAATGATGATGAATTGTAGGTCTAAAATAAATATGCACTGTGTTCTGTCAAGTCCCGTGCTGGATGCACTGGGACTATGTTCTCATCACTGTGTTCAGTGTGAGGTCATCTTTTACTTTTTTACTTTTACTCTGGAATGCAGTAAGGAGTAATAGCTTTTACTTTCTCCCCTGGATTCCTTTTTTGTTTTGTATTCTGTGTTTTTACAAGTTCAAAAAAAGGGTCATTATCCCAAAGCATGGCAACAAACAAAAAAAACATTTGAAATGATCTGTGTCTCTGAACACATTGGTGTTTTTTTTAATGTCCTTGGCTGTGTTGAGAATCTACATTCTGGGCCCGGAGCCCGAATGGTACTTCTGTGACGTCATCCTGCCCAGTGACTTGTTAAACAAACAAGCTTTCAGTGTTACTCCTCTAAACACTGATTTGACTATGACTTTGCGGCAGTCTCTTCCACTTTGCATACCAGCCATGCAAATGTCACTGTACTCTTCAGAGTGTATAAAAACAGGTTACAACCTCTACCTTAATCTAGTTTATGAAATAGTTCCCCTTGTGTTTGGACTACAATCAATCCTATAGCCCTTATATGGTCAAAACTATGAATAGCTAAGTACAAGTCAATGTTAAACTGCCAGTATGGAATGACCTAATGATGTAATCGACCTCTGCAAATAATCTTTAAACACAAACAGATTTTTTCAATTTTTTGCTCTACCACATTCTGAATTGCAGTTTTCACCGATCAAAACTACCCAGTGACACAGAGGACCTGTACCTTCAAGCACGCGCACTTACATAAAAACAAAAGTGGAGCTGCGGTTTAAATAGGAGTTGTCTAAAAAAATTGGTATAAACAAAAGCGGATCGTGTCCCCGCCCAAGAGTGAATGATGACTTCCTCCCCCCCCCGAAGTCTGTGAGGAGACAGCTCAGGCCTCCTCTGTTCCCGGCGTGTTGAGCAACAGGCCTGAGAACAGCAATGATCTCACAGGGCAGTTTGCTGAGTGCTTACGTCATCCGGGGCTCCATCACAAGCAAAGTATAAACTTGCGGGGCAGGACACACAACTGCAAACAGTTGCAGCAGGCGGTGGTTTGGACTTCTCGAGACAACGCCCTCTGGGAGCTCTGGGAGTGGATGTCACTTTAGACCATTCCAGAGGCTTCCTGTCCAGCAGCTAATAAGGACGCATTTTACTTTGCCTCAACGTTGCTGGAACACAACCATTGGTTAGAGGTTTTACCTTAAAAAAAAAAAAAAAACAAGAGTGGCGCTGTTCTTCTCATTATGTCGAAGATTTAGGAAAAGTGAATACCAGAGCAACAACACCAATGGAAACCTCTGAGGTCTGCAATCAATCCAGCTTGGCTCGTGGGTCCCTTTCTACAAAAGGAGAAGGAGAGCTCAACAGGCCCATGGAGGCCATAATATAAATCAACACTACAAGTAAATGATTGGCTGCAGAGGGGTCGTCTGAATCTTTAACTAAGCTTTCCATGCTGACAAATGTGGAAAAAGTCTTCCGATGATCGGCCGAGACTTTTTTTTGGCTCTTCTCACGCGGAACTACTTTCAACCGCTGGTTGCTACAGCTGCTGAGAGCGCGTGCACGTGCACTTAGCGCACTCAATTGCATTGTCTAAATGCACAGTTTCACTGTGGGTTGTCGAAAGGTCGTCAGGTCACACGACAAACACAGGATCACTTATCAGGCCCAACTTTTTGTTCAATAAAACAATGGTTGCATGTATGATGCAATAGCATCAGTAACATCACAACCGTGGAGTGTTTCTTCCACTTTTTTTTGTCATTATTGGGAAAATATGTCTCAGTTCTTCTCTAAAGTAAGATTTTGACTGGCAGATCGTTCCTCCAATCTCCTTCCAATACAATTTGTCAGCTGGTTCTTTGTGCTGACCCATTCATTCATCTGGCCACTTCATTTAATCGCACGGTGCTTGTGCAATTAAATGTGTGTCTCAGCGCATCACGAGTTGTCAGAAGGTGGTGGCTGATCTAGACTCCATTCAGGATCCAGGACCACACCCGCCCACAGTCCACCGCACGCCAAGTCTCGATCTCTTTCCAAACAATGACGGGCATGCAAGGATTGCTCAATGGCACCACAGCTCCAATAATTCAGGCTTTCTAAATAAGCACGGTCCTCCCTCTACGGTAACGATTGAACGAGGCAAAGCCAACAGAGAGACATTTTCTACCTAATAGTCAATGTCCTCCCGTAACTGTCATTTATCGCGCGGATGAGAACGCTTCGGGGCTGACGCAGCGTACACTTTATCAATCACGCGCACGCTCTTGATAAAACCAACACCAACCGCGCAGACATCAAATGATTCACATCAACGAGTCATCTCACACTTTGCATCTCGGCAAACGCCCAGAAGCCCAACTGTCACAGCAAGAATGCTCTGCAAGCAACTTTCGGGAGAAGTTGTTGATGCTCACATGATGCACTTTGAGAGGAGGAGCACTCAGTGTAACTCGACCTCCTTTGCTCAGCTGTAACAGCTATTAGGTGCATTAAATAGTAATAGCAACAACACATTGATGCTGTGCAACAATATAGGGTTTACTAACTGCACAGGAGCTGTGCGTCAACTTTGTTTTAGTTTCATTATTATACTGACTGACTAGAAACTGTGAAAATCCTTTCGGTGCGGTGAGCCGCAATAATTCTGTTGATTTTTTTTTTCTTTTTCCTCCAGGAAGCAAAGTTGTGCACACACACATTCTGTGCAAACGGTGTCACTTTCTCACGCTGTCTTGCCGCAGAGTGGAGAGGGGCAGATCACTGCAGGCGGCGGCGTGAATACTCACCAGCTTTTTGTTTTTACCCTCGTCCTCGCCGGACTTCTTTTTGGAGGGTTTGTTCGGGTCATCCCCGCCGCTCGCTTGATCCATCTCAAAGTTAGCTCCTCTGCAGAAAGACTTCGACCTTTCTCAAAAGTTGGCGGCCTCCAGGAGAAAGTTGTTTTGTTGTTGTTGTTGTTGTTTTTAAAGCGGGGGGGGGGGGGGGGGGGGGGCCGACCCCAACCCAAAAATGAGAGCTTTTCAAAAACTCTTTCGGGTGGGGGGGGAATATGAGTATCTCGCTTTTTGCAAGTAGTTCCCCGTAAGGATCCCGCAGTGGAGAGGGGGCTTTGTGGGGTTCTTTGGAAAAAAAGAGTGTGTGTAGGAGAACGGTCCCGGATGAGGCGAGTCGGTCACTTCACAGCGGGTAAAGGCTTCCTGGAATGATCACAATCGCACACAAACATTAAATAGGTGCATTGAGATAAAGCCGGGGGGGGGGGGTCATTTTTTCCCCGTGCTGTTTTATTACGCGAGGCTGCAGATAAGAAGTACATTCAGTGACAGGGATGTAAACAAACATTTAGGCGGAAGCTTTAGTGTAAAACAAAATAAAGATTCCGATGCGGGGTGGGTGTTTTTTTTTACGTTTACATACACCGATCCCTGGTTTTGGACACGTCTGACGTTACATTCTTTGGAGAGAAAAAAGGCCAACTTGCTTTCGTTTAACTTATCAATTACATTGTAGTGACCGACAAGAAAGAGGTTTCCTCGCTGTCGGGATGCTGAGGCAGAGTTTGACGTGCGCAGACAACGGGGTTATTCAGCCGACAGACATCCGTCATTAACCTACATGAATGCACAGTTATTGTAATAGTGGAAATCACCGTTGTTCCATCTGCTTTACTTTCCAGGGCTGTGCAGTTAGCCGGGCTAGCATGAACAGACGACCGCAACCTGCCGAAAAAATCACTCCTTTTCACAGTCACCGTAGAGGAAAACACATACAACACCGCGCTATAAATTACACAATAAGCAGTTTATAAAATGTCAAAAGAAAAACTCACAAAATCCCATCCAAAGCTTACATTAGCAACCAGGCATGATTGCCAGGCCCACAGTGACTCCGCCCTACCGGATTCTGATTGGCCGCTGGGAAAAGCAAGAACCGAGGACTCCTATCACTATTGGTCCGAGGTGTGCCAGTCATCACCTCGGCGTGGCGTTGAAGGGGAGGAGACTGTGTGACGTAGAGGTCGCTCCGATCTCGCAGCAAGTGGATGGGATGGGAATCCAGTTGCAAGAATAGATATGTGAGTGTATTACGAAAGAGTGACTGCAGGATAGGGAGCCAGGCGGGAACACACCCTGCCAGTTGGCGTTCGTGCGTCTGTTGCGTGACATGGTTTTACAATTACATCCCAAATCCTTCTATGTTTGAGATAAAAACAGCTGACATCCTATCGTAATCCAGTGCCATAATAGAGAACATAATGGTTTTGCTTTATTAAGACATTTTTTACAGAAAATTACGTTTGACATGTTTTGCTTCATAGACAAGGAAGAGTTTTAGGTCCCAGTCAAATAATAGTCCAGGAAACATACCTCCGTAGAAAAATAAATATTTTCAAAAACATTGTTGTACATTTATTGTATAGATATAACATATTACGTATGTTCGTTTTATTGCAGTTGGAGAGAGCCTGGCAAGCCAATCTTGCTCATTTTTGCGAAAAGCAGAACTACGCTAACTAGTTGCTCTGTATTTATAGATACCATATGGGCATCACATATTATGTGGAACTCAAAACACAATAGACTGATACAGTAGCACCGATCAACGGAGGAACAGACTACCGTTCTGAAAAACAAACCTGTCACCGACCACTTTTCGCACTCGACTGATACCGATACCGTGATGTCAGTTATTTTGACACATTTCACCAAAAGATGGGCCAGAGTTCTGAAGATTGACCCATTAGCAGGTTTGGTGACTTGGTGTGCGCTTCTACATCCCTGGTGGAATGATGTTCTATCGCTGTGTCTGATGGTTCACACGAGCTTTAATGAAGACAAGAGATTGTGCCCTTGTCAACCAGAGGATGAAAAATCAAAACGTATTCCTCTGCCCTTTTGTTGAGAAGACTGACAGAAGGATTTGTCTACTTATAGAGTATGTGTCCACTCTGAATGCCCCACAGAAACACGCAGAGTAATCCTTTAACCTTCCTGGTGTGTTGAGAAACAAATTGATTTCAACTTTACATTGAAATCAATTTGTTTTCTTTTGTCTGATCACCAAGAGCTGTTGTAAGACACTTAATAACCCTTCTAATGTTTTCTCCATTATTCTTCTTGCCGGCCAACACGTAAACGAACAATTTCAATTTTGAGGATATTTTAGGAGCTAAACATGCAGCTCCAGTCAGACGTGGAAAATTGCAACATTTCCTTCTCTTTCACAAATCTCACTTCTCCAAATCAAGAAAGAAAAACATTGAAACCCATGTATTACATGTGTTATGGGGACATCACAAGGTTGATCCAACCACAACATGACAAAACTCTCTGCAAGCAGCTTGCCGTAAATATAACACTTGATTTCTTTTTTGCATAATTTCACGGATGAGAAGAATATGGAGACTGAAGACATGGTGCAAGAGGATGTATGATAGAAGAAAATACTAAACAGCTGGAGTCAACTCATTTTGATTAAAAAGAAGCGACTCCTTATAGACAAACCAAATTATTGGGAAAACTCAAATTTTGACCTTGTGATGGTGCAAAATGAAAAGTTCCAAGCACAAGTTATGAAACATGTCCTTCTTAATCACAGAGGCCCTCGAAGAAAGCGGGTAATTTGGATTGATCCTCTTGAAAGCTTGAATGTCCATAGAAACATGGTTGCCAAGACACACAAGTACGGCAATTTAACAGTAGATGTGATTTCTACTTTTAGGGCAGATACTATTAGCACCCAGGTGTCAAAAGTCAACAAAGCAGTTTCTAGGGCGGTTATAGCCAATTGCAGCAGTTTACTTGGCTGTATAATAATAATCAGGCTCCTGCTGAAAAAAATCAACCTCAATCCACAAAAGAAAAATGGCGTATACTGCTTCACTGGGACGCATGAGCCACACATGAAAGCTGTTCGGCTGTGCGTGCCATCATACTGCAAACCATTTCAAATAAACCTCCATAAACCCACACAAGATCGCACTAGATCTTTAAAGAAACAACTATATCCTGCAGTGGGAAGAACTGAAAACGTCCTTTGGACTGAGATAGTGACCTTTACAGTAAAAAAGGTGAGGATTCTCCCTGATCAATTTAAAGTTAAATGTCCAATTCCAGTAAACACTGTTATGCATTTTGGTCCATTTTTTTTATTTTCCTCTGTACGATATTATGTTTGGGTCCAGCTGCTTCAAAGCAGATCCAAACATTAAAATGGGTCATTCAGTTTTCCATCTGCCCATGTTGGACCAACGTTGTCCACTGTTGGGTTCGGCCTGTTGGATATTTTTGCATATTTAGAAAACTGCAGCAAAGCAGTGCTTGTACAATACCTTTCTGAAAAATTCCAAACATTAAAATAGATTAAACTGAGAGCATTATTAACAAAACCATCACACTAATAGTGTTTATTTCTGCTACAAATGATGTCCAATCCAATTTCCTAATTGTTAAACAGTCAACACAAAATAAACACGCAGTAGGGAAGCGGATTCTGCAGCTCATGAATAACATCTCGCATTGTGGGTTGCTGGTGTTAATCCAGTGTTAATCCAGCGATGTACTAGTAATGACCCTGGTGAGTCTGTCTATTCTTTGGGTAGATAGCATTCACTGGAGTCAACGTTCACTTGGATGCTCCATAATTAAATTCAGGCAGCTGCTCTGGATGTGGGACATACTTTTCCCAAGAGTCATTATTCCATTCAGACATGACTGACCAAGGCCCTGAAATAGGAGATACTCCATGATACTAAACATAAGGTCGGAATACTTATGTACGTGTTGTTGAATGCTTTCCCATTGGTCGTCATTCTCACCACTGCTCTGGTTGCACTTTGCTCAGTCCGGACCATTAGGAAACTATCCCTGCATTCATTTAAAGCTCTAGGTTGAAGATGGTTGGAATTCTAACATGGCCTGTTGTGATCAAAAGCGCACTCTGGCACTGCTAATTATTATATATATATTTTAATAAACTCTGTCTGACTGGGGCCGTTTGAGTCGCTCAGTTTTTTCACTTTTTAATTTGTAAAAAAGTTTTCCATATTTGCTGTTCACATCCTATTTAGCACTTTAGCACCAGGGGTTCCGACTGAACCTCCCGGCAGGCTGCGCACATGCTACGCAGAACCAATACTCCCCTATTACACTAAAGCAAGACTTAGAAAGATATCTGGCTGTCGTGGGCAGCAACGTCAACCACTGTGTTTAGACCTCAGAGATGAAAGAGAAATTACTTGTAAATTATTAATTTCTTTACCACTGCCAAACATAAACATATTACTTTAATAAAGTATGCATATGCACATTATTTGCTGCCTTTGCTCGGCTGTGCTTTTCTTTCACAGTGTATTCATGAGATAAGGTCCTTTTGGTCATGCTGCATATTTGTATCACAAATCATAATATAAATGTTTTTTTATTCTAAAAGCGTCTGATGATTTTTCAGTTCATTTTCATATGAAGCTAGAATTCTGTTACCATCCTTTTACAATACCAACTATTCTTGTGTGAACTGTTAAAAGACAAGATACAACGGCATAAGCATTTTTATCGAGCCTCCACTAACCAAACACATTAGAATGTTGTTCTTATTGAATACTGCAGAGAGATATATGTATACCCATTCTTCCCTTGAAGGTTGATTTACCTTTTGCCTGTTGCCATGGAAGCCTGCTGCGCTCGTGGGCTTGTTGAAAGGGCACTTTGAAATCTTGCTCGTGACAAGAAGGAGTCAATCGCAACGATGTGTCTGAGAGCAGTGTGTCACGTCAATATGATTACAAGGTCTGCAGCACAAAAGGAAGGTGAGTTTATGAACAATATTGTCTTACTTATTTTAGTTATCTGTTAACATCAGCCTTAATACAACGTCAAGCATGAAGACCTTTGCTTGACCTCTACCATAACTGATTGATCTTGCACATGTTCCAGCTGACGCATAATGATGATGAAGACATATGGGAAATATAGATTATAGAG